CGCAGAGCGGCCAAGGTCGTTTTCTCCGAAATGGCCAAATCCTTTGTGAAGGAGCGGAAGTTCGCCATGGAGGACTGCCTAAGGGTTCTTCAATCTACTGAGTTTCTAAAGACTCAGAAGCAGCGAGCGAGTGCCTGGAGCAGCAACGATCCGCCCTCGGTGCATACGACGTTGGGAGCCTTCCAAAGGGGGCCCTTTGTGGGAATCACCAAGGCTACGTCTAGACATCTATTCCTCGTTCACGGTGGCCAAGGACCTCCACACAGGAGTTCACAGCGATCGGTTCAACATGAAGAACTCTAGGAATGTGGTGGTTACGGTGGGTGATTTTGATGGCGGAGGTATCTGGCAAGAGGGCACGTCGCCCGACCACCCCCTTGTTGAGATTGAGTCTCCGAATGGCAACAAGCTTCAGGGCTTTGTACAGCCGGTGCGGAACCGCATTGTGAAGGTGGACCCGAAGAAGCTGCACATGTCAATGCCGTGGACGGGAGGAACGAAGTGGACTATCATTGCACACACCATCGGTGGCTATGCTAAACTGCAGGCAGCCGATCTAGAACAGCTGGATCAGCTGGGGTTTCCACACCCCGCGAGCAAGGAGGCGAAGTCACTAGCACCAATTCAAGGGCGCTATGAGGTTCCGGAGTTCAACTACGAAGGCCCGTTGTGTTCATGATCTTTCCTCAGAGGGGATGTCCTTTTCTGATGAGGAAGAAGAATGGCAAGCTCGATATTGGATGAGAAGGCTGCTGGACGAGGAGGAGCAGCTCAAAGCGACCGTTCCCAAGGAGCACGAGGAATACTTCCGAGAGGTTACTTCCGCCAATGAGGACTGCTTGCGCAACCTTGAACTACGTGAGATGTATGTCAATCATGAGCGCAAGGATGTCGACCAGTGGATGCAGATAAGCCGGCTTGTCGAGTCAGAGCAGGAAACTCATGGAGTAGAGATGCTACTCGAGGACCTCTCCAAGTGGTCTATACTGTGGCGTTGGAAGATGTCAAGCAGAACATTGCTGCATGGTCGGAGGCCATCCACAAGGAAGCCAAAGCCCTCTTGGATGCAGGAGCGCTGGTTCCCCTTTCTGCAACGGAGCA